TTAACTGCCAACCAAGATGGCGGCCGGCAGCCAGGCAGCTGAAGCGAACAGGAGGCTTGCTTGCTCCAGTGATGGAGGAAGCCAAGGTTCCCCGCCTGCCGCTGCTGGCCTCTAAGGTGCACTCTAAGAAACAATGTTGCAATTATAGAAGCTAAACAAACCCCAGAAACCTGCTTTCAGCCGTCAGAGCTGGAGCGAGCAGGACCACAACAGTGTTACAATTATAGAACCCAAACAAACCCAGATACCTGCTTTCAGCAGCCAAGGTCTCAGAGCTGGAGCCGAGCCTCAGAGCTAAAGCCAGCTCTCAGCTCCAGTGACAGCCATAGAAGGTAAATAAATCCCAGAATAAAAAGAAAAAGAAAAAAAGGAGAGGTTGGGAGCTTCAGTCACCCGCCAGCCTGAAAACGGCCCTCAGCCCCTCACCCAGACTGGCCAGGCACCCCAGTGGGGACCCCCACCCTGAAGGGGGTGTGACCAGCTGCAAACAGCCATCATCCCCTCATCCAGGTTGGCCAGGCACCCCAGTGGGGATGCCCACCCTGAAGGGGGTGTGACCAGCTGCAAACAGCCATCATCCCCTCATCCAGGCTGGCCAGGCATCCAAGCAGGACCCCCACCCTGAAGGGGCTGTGACCAGCTGCAAACAGCCATCATCCCCTCATTCAGGCTGGCCAGGCACCCAAGCAGGACCCGCACCCTGATCCGGGACACCCTTCAGGGCAAACCAGCCGGCCCCCACCCGTGCACCAGGCCTCTATCCTATATAGTAAAAGGGTAATATGAAAACTGACCCTAACAGCAGAAAGACTGGGAATGACTGGTCACTATGACACACACTGACCACCAGGGGGCAGACGCTCAATGCAGGAGCTGACTTCTGGTGGTCAGGGCGCTCCCACATGGGAGGAGCTCTGCTCAGCCAGAAGCCAGGCTGATGGCTGCCAGTACAGCAGTGGTGGTGGGAGCCTCTCCTGCCTCCTCAGCAGTGCTAAGGATGTCCGACTGCAGTTTAGGCCTGCTCCCCGCTGGCAAGTGGACATCCCCCGAGGGCTGCCGGGCTGCCAGAGGGATGTCTGATTGCCATCTTAGGCCCAATCCCCCGGGGAGCAGGCCTAAGCCAGCAGGTGGTCATCCCCTGAGGGGTCCCAGACTGCAAGAGGGCACAGGCTGGGCTGAGGGACCCCCCCGAGTTCACAAATTTTTGTGCACCGGGCCTCTAGTATATATATAATCTCATATATATCATATGGAGGTGTTCTGAACCCAAGACCTAAAATTGATTTCTTCTAACTCTGGACTCCCACCCTTTGCTTCCCTTCCCTGTGTTGTTAAGTTCATGGATTTAAATGGCAAATCTGCAGAGTGTGTCATGGCTGCTCTTTTTATATCTTGGAGGGGAATTATCTTAAGCACCCTCTTCAGGGTATCATTCTGCTTCCCCATGGCGCTAGGTTACATTTTATGGAAACTTCGCAAGGGGAAACCTACTGTTTTGTGAACTATCACATAGATATCCAGTGGCTACATCAGAATGAAAATGCCAGAGGAACATAGCAGGTGGTATACTTTAGGTTCCATGGACCAGTGAAACAATCACTCTTCTATCAATAAAAGCTTTTAGGAATCATATTCTGTACCTCCATTGTGCTCAATGTTATGTGGCATACAAGAATAGTAGATGATCGTGCTTTAAGAAACACAGAGTCTATTTTGGAGCATAGACAAAAACATGAGATATCAATGGGATACTGTAATTTTGCAAACTATGAAGCCAAATTTACTAGTATAAGAACGGTAAGTGTTACATTCAGAGAAGAAAGTCATTTATTTTCTAGAATAGTATAATGGAAAGAGTATTGGGCTGGGAATCATCAGACATTGGCAGGCAAATTTATACATGTTGAATGACTGAACGAATCACTTCATCTCTAAGACTTGGTTCCTTGTCTCTAAAATGGAGAAGGGTGGACTCCTATGGTCATTTCCAGTCATACTTCTACTACATTCCAAGAACAAATAGCTACTGACACACTGTGTTCAAGCACATTTTACATGAATTAAATGTAACTGTTAGGGGGTGCGGGAAGAGATTGGACAATAATCGTGCACCTATGGATGAGGACAGTGGGTGGGGAGTGAGGGCGGAGGGTGGGGTGGGAACTGGGTGGAGGGGAGTTATGGTGGGAAAAAAGAAGAACCAATGTAATAATCTGAACAATAAAGATTTAATTTAAAAAAATGTAACTGTTAGGAAAAAATATTGTATCTATTTTACAAAGGAGGGGTTAAAGTTTCAGAATGGCAGAGGCAGAATTCAAACACAGGTTTGTCATTCCCCCAAGTTCTGTGCTCTTTCCACTCTGCTATGTTGTATAGCATTACTCCACCCTGCCTTTCCCCCTAAATTTAAGGAGATATGATCTAAGAGATAAGCACTCTTATAAACAAATCGCTGCAAAACAAGGTGGCATGTCATAAGGGAAAAACCCAGAAAATGTGGAGGATTCTGTCTCTAAATCTTAAGGAGATGAGAAGAAAACTCATCACAGAGATCTGCAATATAGTAAATAGAGCACTGGCCAGAGAGTCAGGGCATGTGAGTTATAATATAGACCATACCACTCACTTAACAAGTATCCCTGGACAAGCAGTGCTCTGGGTGTCAGTTTTCTCATCAGCAAAATGAGAGGATGTCCAGGGTCCTTTGGGTTCCAGCATTCAATGCTTCTTTGATTCCCAAGGATGGAAAGCATGCTTCTGGTTATGGTTATAAGTACAAGCCCAGGAGTTTAAAAAAATTAATGAGATGTTAAGTACTTGTGATGATTTTTAGTGGATAAGGGATTTGGGCTGGGCCTGGAATAATGGAGGTGATTTGGAAAATTCATGAAGCATTTTAGTTCCTTTTAAATATACGAGAGTAGCTAACTATCTAAAGCAATTCTTTCTATAAAATGAATCGTCTCCACTCCCTTCCCTATCTATCTTTTGTACAATTCAATTTTTCATATAGCAAGTTCATTTAAAGGGAGAGCCACCTATACTAGAAAACACAGTGAGGAATTTGCCATGCTCTTGGGGCACTAGTATCATTTTTAAATACGAAAACCATACAAATGTGTTCAAAATTCAAGTTTAAAGTGGAAGGACTGAAAGAAGTCATTTTTTTTTCCGTGATCAACCACTGCAAAGTATGTCTCCCCACAAACCAGCTGAGCCCTTTGCTAGGCATCAGAAGCCTCTGGCATTTTTCTGCTTTTCAACTCTCAGTCATTTGGGAGGTGGGGCAAAGCCATTGCAGTCTGCAAAGTTTACCCGGAATGTGCTGGTGCTACAAGAAATCATTTGACATCTATTATGTTTCTCCTGTAGAAGAGAGGTGGCTATCAGCTAGAGTAGTGATTTCTTTTCAAAGGGGTTTAATTGGGGTATTTCTCATGGGCCAAATTCTAACTCACTGTCTTTATGTGTGCCTGTTAGGAAAATAGTGGAAACATCCTATATAATAAAGGGGTATATGCAAATTAACCCTCAAGCCCTCACAAGATGGCTGCCTACCACCAGGCCGGCAGGGGGTTACCGAGGGATGACCAAACAACTGAGCAAGCAGGCTGCGTGGGGTGACCAGGCCAGCAGGGGGGTTAGTGAGGGATGACCAAAGGACTGAACAGCAGGCTGCGTGGGGCGACCAGGCTGGTGGGGGCAGCCATGAGGGGTGACCAGGCCAGAAGGGGAGGTAGTTGGGGGCAACCAGGTCGATGGGGAGGCAGTTAAGGGTGACCAGGCCAGTGGAGGGTCAATGAGGGTCAACCAGGCTGGCAGGGGGGCAGTTGAGGGCAATTTGGCTGGTGGGGGGCAGTTGGGGGTGACCAGGCCAGTGGGGGGGCAGTTAGGAGCGACCTGGCCGGCAGCAGGGGGCAGTTAGGGGTGACCAGGCTGGCAAGGGGGGCAGTTAGGGGTGACCAGGCTGGCACGCAGGAGGGGCAATCAGGCCGGCAGGGGAGGTGGTCAGTTAGGGGCGACCAGGCAGGCAGGCAGGTGAGTGATTAAGGAGCCAGCGGTCCAGGATTGTGAGATGGATGTCAGACATCCCCCAAGGGGTCCTGGATTGAAGAGGGTCCAGGCTGGGCTGAGGGGACCCCCCAGTGCACGAATTTCATGGACTTGGCCTCTAGTACAAAATAATAGCAACAACAGAAGTCTGAGGACCGCTGTCCCAGGCTGCCTCCTCTGCAAATAGGCAGAAAAACAAAACAAACAAACAAAAAACACCAGTGTCCCTGCTGCCTAAGCTGCTGCTAATATGGCGTAGTTCTTAGAAAGGTGTGGCAGAGGGGCTTGGGGTGCAGACTGTGCTTTGCGTGACCATGGAAATATTATAACCCGAAAAAACTCCGTTTAGCCTGTTTTTACAAGTAGCACTCTGACTAGGGGGGCTGGCAGAGAGATTAGTTTCACGTAGTTGAGTTACACACTTGTGAGCTGCTTTTCTGAAGTATGGATTTGCTCCCGTGTAGGCAGGCTAGCATCTTTTTTTTGAGGTGAGCCAGAAGGAGGCCTTATAGTTTTATTGGAAGTGTTGAATGATTTTCCTTGCAATAAATTTGTGCCTTTCGTTGGTATTTTCCGAAGTGCGACTTTTGCAGCTGATGGAAATCGGCTCACTTCTGTTCTGTAACTTCGTGTCTTGTTGATGATTTATTTGTTCAGTAGCAGAAACTATGACAAATTGTGTGAGGCGGCCTCATTTACTTTTTAGCTGCAATAGCCCTGAAGAATTTACATGTAAATGCAACTGTGAATGTTTTACATTTCATGAGCATGTGGGCACTTGTCTTTGAAAGTCAAGTGACATTTTTACAGATAGACTGAACTTAACACTTCCCACACCTCACAGGTTATATTATTCTGAAATGCGAAATCTGACAGGCTGTGTTTTCCTGACTGCCAAGTGGGAGAGTAAGTCTCTATTTTGTGTTTTTCTTCTCTCCTTTTAGACATGCAGAGCAGCCCACACAACCAGTTCACCTTCAGACCCCTCCCGCCGCCACCGCCACCTCCTCATGCCTGCACCTGTGCCAGGAAGCCGCCCCCTACAGCGGACTCTCTTCAGAGGAGGTCCATGACTACCCGCAGCCAGCCCAGCCCAGCTGCTCCAGCTCCTCCAACCAGTACACAGGATTCGGTTCATCTGCATAACACCTGGGTCTTGAACAGCAACATACCATTGGAGACCAGGTACTTGAACTATTACTGACCCCGCTAAACTTAAGGATTAGCAGACAATGATTTTACTGAGTGCAGAAACCCATCTTACCATAAATATCTGCAAAGACACTCATTGGAAGAGAGATGCAGAGCCCTTCACAAGCACAAATGCACACATAGGAACACACATCTAGATCCAGGCCCGCCAGCAGACACAGGCCAGAGCAGATACACGTGAAAAGATGAAACCACAGATGCCTAATCATTCCACAGGCAGACACCCATAAAAACATAGGAAACAAAGCCATTACTTAAGACTATCATTGCTTCCTCAAACTACTAAAAGGCAATCATCCCTCGTTTAAAGAAATGGGAAAATCCAAACACAATTGGAGGAACAGCAATAGTGGGCATTTTATTTATTATAGGATTCTTTGAAATAGTAACTTGCCTTCCAACATTGTAAGAAGGGATTTGCTTCATGAATTGGAAGTCCTTGTATAATTTTAAAAACTTTATTTTGCCTTTAGGATGAAGTTTGGTCTTTTGAGCAAAGAAGTTTGCCTCTATTTTTCTGTCACTTCATGTATTTAGGTTTCCAGAGTCACTCCTCAAATCTTTGTCATGTGATTAAAATTCTAATCCTCCACAGCTCTAGGTCCCTTAATCATAATATATTTTTAGCACAAGCTGTGATTAACCGAGAAACTGTTCATCATTTCCAGTCAATATCTTAAATAGAAAATTACAACTTTCTATTAATATGAAAAACATTACCTAATAAAACACAGTATTCTGTTATCTTATAAATTCAAGAACTCCCCCTTGTCTTCTCTATGCCTTATTTAGATCTACCACCAAAAGTTTTTCTAAATACATTTGTAAGTAAACAGTTGTTGTAATATATCACTTCATAAGCAATGTCTGGTGTCAATTCTGATCAATTTCTATCCCACTATCTGGTAATGGGAATAGAAAGGGGAAGACTAATAAACCCACATTATAAGGCTGGTTGTTTTTTCCCTAAGCAGCATATTAAGTTAAATGCCAGGCATGGCATCACAGAATATGTCACCACGAACAAACCGAAAGCACTTTGGCCCAAATCCAGGAAACTCTATATCATCCATCACTTACTAGATTACATAGTTTCATAAAGTGATGTTTCTGCTATCTTCCAAGAGAAATATAGCAGTCAGCACATATGGTGAATATAACCCAATTAGAACTGTGCTAGTGATAGGGTTTGTATAGTGTTCTTTTTTATTTTTTAATTGAAGGCAGGGAGGTGAATGAAGTGAGCAAAGCAGTGACTAATGTACAGTATATCTTCAAGGAGTTTTCACTAACAGTGGTGATTACTCATTCTTCTTGTAATTCCTTTGCAGGGCCTAGTGACAGAGAGCTAAGGAAACACTGGGGCAATCTGGCTAACTAGCAATCCTGACAGCAAA